ATTGTGCCAAGTATTGCTAATAGTAGTAAATACTTTGCTATAAACAGCATGCAACTGCGATAATCATTGCCAGTGAAATATTCGCCACCGTCATTGAAAGGGAATAAAGTATGTATTACACTACTATGATTGTAATCCTGAAAATTACTTCTAGCACAGTACGAATTGGTCTATAGTAAATGATAACAATATTTTTATTTTAGTTACCTGTACCGCATAACTATTTTCATAGGATACTTCTTTAGTTTAATTACACAGAATTCGATTACCTTTTAGTCGTATAATAGCCTATGTACGAGCGTATTTTTGGATTTGTACAGTATTCGTACGTCTACATTTATTGCTTTCACTGTTGGTTTATTGCGAAAGATTTCGTCTAAAATCATCTCATTAAATGTCAAATACGAGTATCCTTGCAAGACAAATATACGTATCATTTTTAAAATATTACAAAGTAACTATCGATTTTTAGAATACGAACGATATAAACCAACATTTATCGTTATATGCCAAGAAGATCTTACGAATGCCGTTGCTTAATTAACAATGAAATTCGTAATAATCTTTTAGTCACCATTCTAGCTCTCGTACTAATTTCGTTCCTACTCCTATTCTTGCTTTCCGCGTTTGCTTAACGTAATGAGATGGCAACTATATAGTAGTGTACTTGGATACTGTTTCGAAATGAAGGGTATACGAATGGTGTCACTTCGTGTGAAACACAAACCATAATTATAATGCTAACTGACTGTCGTTTATGAAGCTAATTAATATTTCTCTGGGAACTATTTCGTATGCTATACTGTACACCGTACAGTACTCTGTAATTGGCAAAGCATCATCAAAATTCATAACACTGTGGCTTGAGAATGCACGTAATTTATCCCCATTTCACCAAATTTGTATTGATTAGCACTCCTATCAATCTTAATACAAATAGAGAAGGTTGATATTTGATAGCATCGTACAATATAATGCGTTCATTGTCAGGAAACAATTAGGAATATTGGTGCACTTGGACAGTACGTAAAATCGTAAATGATACAATACTGTAATCTCAATTTCATCCATGATGTAACATAATGGACTATCATATAAAACGTATAGCACCGCAAGTACATTCACGTCGTACAGTCTGCTGTATGTATACTGTAACCTTAATAAACTTTCCTCCGAGTCTTCTTGCTTTTTCTCTCTCTAAGATACTAATAAAATATATATCTCATCCTCTACATATCGCAAGCATCCTTTGCGAAATACCATCCGGTAACATTACATATGGCTGTACTGTACACTATACACTGTACAGTTAAGCAGTCCGACATTACTGTAGAGTGTAGATGAATTTTTCATGGTGACGTAACCAAGAACTACTCCATAATTCCTGCATAAATCAAAAAATTTTTCCAATATTTTTGTGGAGTAGTCTCTGCCGAAGCTACAATCACAACACCTGGTTCTTTTATGCCTGTCGTGCAGTCATTCTTTTTCATATAGATATCTGTTCCTGAGTTGCTATTTGAATGTGCGTAATTCGATCAAATTTTTGCTGTATTTGCGTCAAGCTGCATCGTCGCAACTCCTTTTGGACGGCGACCTTGCTCATTTTAAAACCAAAATCCAAGTAAATTGCTAGTGCCGTTATAACATTACTGTATAATGAAAAAATTACAGCATGTGCAGTAATAATATGAAGGAAAAAGGCAATGTTTTTCATTAATGTAAGTTTCATAATACAGTAGGTCAGTCAGTAGTGGTTAAATTGTACGGTTGATGGATGTTACCGTGTTACCTTACCGTTAAGATACTTTAATAAGTACAGTAGTAGCTAATACGGAAAATATCTATATTTGTAGTGCTAGGTAAGATAAGTAATGCCTTAATGTGGACATTATTTGTGATAGTTTATTACGTATTTGATATTGATTGTTAGTATGTGTAGATAGTAGTAAGATGATTCAAGTTCTAGCTATTGATAGTTGAATTAGACAACATACATACTTGGATTAAGTGTGAGTTCAGAGATTAAAAATATTTACTGACAGAAAAGCTATGTAAGGAATATGTCAGTTTTGGTACATTCATATGGGCGGCGAAAACCCAGCGTCGAGCATCTAGATCCGTTTGGGTTAAAGCCCTTTCCAAAATTCGATACTGGTCGCCCACAATATAAAAATTTATATTTTGAACATCGGGCGACCGGCGTCGTGTTTTCGAAAGGGCTTTGACCCAAACGCTTCTCTGGACGAGATGTCTCACCTGGTAAGATATAATAATAATACTGTCCTTATTTACAAATTAAATGCTTCCTACATAAACGGGAACGTTTGAGTTTAGTTGCATGGTGAAAAGTTGTAGATGTGTCTATGTAATAAAAGTTCTATCTTTACGGTACTTCGCTGTGTGTGATTAACGTTTACTAAAAGGGCATTTAAGTCAGTAGTTACTTATAGACTTATACTGTTCGTTTCCTTGTCCCAGAGTTTGTCTGACAGGTCTATCAAATGGTAATACTATCTGTTAAATGAGCACATTATCGTAAACCGTCAGCAAAGCGACGGGAGTTTGCACTAGTATTGTATAATGCACATAACCACCAACGATTTTAATCACATTTTATTCCTGAGAAGGGTCTACCGTATGGACATTTATAAGCATCTTATTCGATGATCACTTACAGTATAGCAACAGATGCGTACGACAGCACCGTATCCTTGTACGTACACTGCAGCACTGTACATTGATATGATACGTGCAGTGTAAAGCAAGTAATTGATGTCACACGTTAAAAGTAAAAGTAAAATCCGAACCAAAATTAAATTACCTTAACAAGGTTAAGATCCAATATGGTTCGCACAACTTCAACTAACATTACATACAAGTACATTCATTAGTCATCTGGTCGTCACTAGCAAGATATAGTATGGAAGAGTTTGTTATTGTATCTGTAGTTCTGTACAGTACTGTACAGTATTACTGCATTTCATTAATTAAAGCGCAGTCCGGTATCCTACAGTAAATCAAATTTTTGGTTTCCTACGTGTTAACTACTTTCATAAATAGCGCCCCAAAATCTCAAAACGTGAGATTCCGATATCGGTGATACCATGCTTAGTACGGTCTTCTTAGGCTTACTCAATTGACACGTTAGTATCTTATTACTATAGAGAACAAAAAATCAAAAAAGGTAATGTACAAAGTTAAGTATTAGCAGAAAATATTCGCTGCAAATTTAATGCCCTATACCGTATGCAGTATTTTAAGAATGCACAGTTAGTTTTAGAACGTTCTCATCGATTTCTATTTTAACTTACAGAAAGTTTACGGTATATTTATGATTACAATCACGGATAGCTGTTTACATTAAATTCATTTTATACCTAGAAAATGATGTAAAAAAATTGAAGACTTACAATAAAGTATGTTATAACTTTGTTCTTCACCATCATTACCCAAAAGTAGATACGAATCATTTTAACTACTCCGGCGGTACTTTTGGGACATGATTAGAACGAACAGCAAGAAGTTATGTAAGTAAAATCAATCTATACCGGAGATTGTAAGTTGAACTTTGTTTCTCCGTAAAATAACTATGTGCATCTGATCAGGTAAGCAAAGCGAACGAAATCATCAATCCACTCGTAGTCTATATACTGTACTGTACTGTAATATATTCCACCGCATAGAAATGTGAAGAAATATGAAAAATTTTCTTACAACTAACTCCACTCTCGGCAGAGCTACTGCCCTTTTACCGAATATGCCTACAGTCAAGCAAGCGTGGTCATAGTTGTTAAAAATATTACTGTTCGCAATAGGGATTTCTAAAGAAAGAAAAGTCCTGGAATATTATAAACGAGTTTGTGAATCTGAAATCTCAGTTGTTCACTGTTGACGATGACTGTATCAACAGCAAATATCATTTCATGCAAACGAAATGGAGAACAAGACTTGTAAAATCGAAGAATGGATTAGGCCAATACTATTGTCGGGGCTTAAGAGTCCTCGTTGTACAGTGTACCGCACAGTACAACCTACATACAGTGCAGTAACCCTTAACCCAGTACTGCATAGCCTGATCTTTTCCAATTTAGTGTTCATAAATGGAATAAAATGGTAAAACTTTGACGGATTTTATTTAAACGTTGTATCAATCGATAGCATTTAAGTACAGTATAGTACCGTACTTTATCTAAGACCTTGAGGAAAAAATTTAACAATGCAACCACGCTTGCTTCATAAATAACATGGACGTGAATCGGTAAAATTAATTAATTTCACTTTGCAGTTACAGTGGTGCAGTACTGTAATCAGTAATTATCTTTGAATAAATATCACAGTCATAGATAACGCAGTAGGTGTCTTTAAATTACACGGTTGAAAATTGAAATTAAAGTAGTACTTTACGGGAAATATGCACTTTCCAGGATATCGGAAAGTACTGTATTTGGGCCAAACCTAGGGAATTGCGGTAGTTCGCAATATTATTTATTTACAGTTAGTAAATCATCGAATAACCTCTTCGCTTTTCACCAGATCACAATCTTTCCTACGCTACTACGAGACCTTCGCTTGCAACCTGTAGCTACACCTCTTCATGTAGCAATCTCTATCGGCAGTAAATTACTCCACAACATCAAGAAGTTGACAGAAACCAAAATTCCAGAACAACATTGTTACTGATATTTTGATTAGCAATGATGTGATCGCCATTACCATTTCATAGATTATCTCCGTTTTTATGAAGCCTTCTACATTTTCAGGCTCTCAACATTTGATACAAAATTGGGCATTCAACATATTTCCAAACAGAGTCTAAAAATTGCATTAAATTACCGTATTGATCGCAGTACAGTACTGTATTTTATGACACTTGTCGCTCACTGCACAATTGTCCATCATCTCCTCTTTGAATTAACGAATCTTAACTCTTAACCCTGTATTCTTAGAGTATTAATTCTGTTATTACACTGTGATTATATTCGTATATTAAACTCATCATGTTTATCAATTCAATATTTAACTTTTGCCATAATTGGTTCATGGAAAGTTTTATGTACAACTCCGTATGTGATCAATTAATTCTATGTACACTTTCGGTTATTGTTATCGCATATTTAGCGATGTTAGTTGGAAAAGCTCTTTTTAAAGGCAATGCTGAAAAAAGGAAAGAAGATGAACAAACTACAGGTAAGACCTAATTGATCAATATTAGAAAAAGATCGAATCGACTGTGAAAGAGATACTGTTGATCCAAAGTGTCTCTTACATAGTCAAAGCGAATAATTACGAGTCGCTATTACCTAACCCGAAATTACTTATTGCTGAGAACTAATAACATGAGCATGTAATGCTCACGATTAGTTTCCTATAAACAATCAAATCTACATTTGCATTGTTTTTTCGTTTAAACCGCGAGTAAATAACATAAACTGCTATTATGTCTTGTGTACAGTTTATCCATTTTTAAAATGCTGTACTTGGAGTTGAAAGCATACAAAGTGCTGTAGTGAAATTAATTGATAAGCTCATTCCTAAAATTAATTAATGCAGTCAAGTAATTGCGTAATGCTGCAATGAATTTTTATTCTTTTCAATTTATTATGCGGATATTTTATCGAAACAAATACAGTACTGTAGTATCATAATACGTAATATCAAATCTAGCTCAAACGATTAAAATGTCTTAAGTAAATAACGTTCTTATCATTTAACATCAAAGCTATCAATCTCATAGAAAATACTTGATGGAAGTCGTTTAAAATATTTCTCAAATGGAAGCGTATTTTACCGGTAAAATCTTTCAAGATTACAATCAATGATTTTATACATTGTACAGTAACGTAGTAAAATTCTTCTTCTAACTTTTACTAATGAATGATTTACAATAATGTACTTTACGGTACCAGGAATTTCTATTCTCTTAAAGAGTCCGTGAGTGTACTAACCATGGACTTCTAGAAATTACAGTACTACTGTAGTAATTTGTAGTAACTCTGTTACTACTAACCTACTTATTATTTACTTTTACATAGTTGGTCTATTCTTTGACTCTTCTTTACAAGAAGCGAAACGAGATCGTTTTCTATTCTCTGAAGTCAATTATTTATTATTAAGTACGAATGCTAATTAGACTGAGCTTCGATGTTTTCGTTGCCATCCCAGAAGAACAAAATAGAAAATCATAACCACACTTGCGTCACTTTAATCGTATACAGCTAATGGTTAAGTTTCTACATGAGATACGCGTAATGCTTTAATTCTTTAAATTATGCACCAGCTCATTACGCTTAAAAAATTGCATCGAAAGGAGCTCAATCCACGCTTAAGCAAAGATGACGCTTTCATCAGATTGTGTGAAATACGAGTGATATTTGAATATTACAATGAGTAAAAGTAGGTGCTAAATTTTTTTAGCCTTATCTTCATTCATACCATGATACGAACATGTTTATTAGCTTGTAAAGGACTTGCGAAATTAAGAGAGCTTAAAAAATTCAATCATATCCATGCGCCTTTGTAGTACAACGATTTTTTCTACTGCTACAGTTTTCAGTATTTATATCTATATGCACCTTACTGTGTATTAAATTGATCATTGTGCTAATACCCATCAAAGATAAATATACGAATGTATCACACCATCCATATTCGTTAGATATTTCAATTCATATGAAAATTTAGGGTGTGATGTTCGAATATAACAAGTCTCTTTAATTGGTTTCTTAGAAATTGATGATAACAACAACGATACAATAATGAAAACGAAAGCAGGAGGAAAATCTCCCGACTCCTATAACGCCAACGATGGATCTGCCACAGATCCAACCAAGATGTAAGTCTATTTTATCCAAATAAATTATTATTTATATGTTACTGCAGTGTATTGAGCTCTTTTAGCAGAATTTTGTTTTATCATCTAGTCTTAATGTTTTCGCTGGCTTAGCACGTAAATTTTAGCTTATAGAAAAATTGCTATTTATATATTATTATATATTAAAGACACCAAGCTGATGCGACTTCAGAGTCTATGTCAACAGTCACATTGGTAGATTACAATAATACCGACTATATTTATGTCCATGACACCGGCGAATCATCAGACTTTCATACGAATGACAATCAAGATTGTACACGCCATCGCATTGGATCTAACGATTCTTACCTAAGTAATCACTCTGTATCATCACGTAACAGTGATGGAAATCTCGCTGACGATGAAAATATCCTAAGCGATTCAGTAAGCCTGGTAGATGCTAAAGGTAGAGCTGACATTTCCATTAGGAAACAATCGCATCAAGAAGGTGATAAGGCAGTTTGTATGATCAGTAGTCGAGCTCGCCATTTACAAATAGATATCAGTGATTGCACTGATGATAACCACAGTCAGCAACAGAAACTGTCTGAAGTTGTGGCTTCTATCAAAGAATGCATCCATAACATTGTCGTAATGTGCATTCAACATCAAGAAACAAGTCTATGGTTGTCTAAATTAGCTATGGATAAGTATAAACTGTATGGACGGGGATGTTTATTATTAGTCTTACCTTCACTAGAAATAGCCAAAGAATTTCATGTCGACGACCTAAAAAAATTATCGTATACTCCTAGTTACGCTGATAAAACGACATTACTAAAATCCGCTGGACACGTATCTAAAGCATCTATATTGGTTTCGATGTGCGATCAATACAATCCAATAGAGGAATATTTATTATGTGTTACTGTTGTTGCCCCTTTAGAGAAAAGGCAAAGTAAAAACTCTCTACGCATTATTACTGGTAATGCATATAGTAAATCATATAAAACATGTGTTCAACTCCGTTTATATCCTACTTTATTGACGCCATCTGCTACTTTGGATCCGCCTTCGCTAACAGATTGTAATGATCATGATAACTTGCATCATGATCATGTTGTTGTATCTATGTATGACCTGAAAAAAAGTAGCGGAATTACCACGGATTTTAAGCAGCAGTTTTTACAACATACTCTCCATGTATTAACAGATCACTATATCAACTTTAAGGATTCATATCCAAAAATCTATTCGAAGTTGGAAGATTGCCTACAAACTGGCTCAGCAACGCAACCTATTAATTTCACAGCTTTAAATGAAAATGGCGAGCAAGTTTTATGTACAATTGTCCTTGAATTGCCAGTGCACGTTTAACTATGTGGGACATAATTTTAATCTATCAAGCGTTGTTTCCTGTTTGCTATTTTATATTCTTTCATTTTAGTATTAGTATCTTAATGCGACAGTTAACTATGGTATATGGTATATATTACATATCTCGTATTTAAAAACGATTTAATCATAATAGAAGTAACTAAATCATTGCACTAGCTTAAACATGAATTTTTTCTAATACCTGTGAATGTCATACTCGTGCTATCTATGTACACCCCATTGATCACATACTGTATAAATTAAAATCTACTTGACTCGAAAATATTAAAATCAGGCCTGTTAAGGAATAAGCTGGGAAAATATCGTATTTCGAGTATTCGTAATTACATCATAATGGTATTATATTTTACTGCGTATACTTATAGTCGTATTGCCGTAGAAGCAGAATTTCTTTGAACATAATTGAGTATAATTGAGTTGTTGCCATCATAGCCCGTATCGTGATAGTCTAAATTTACAAGCAACATCTAATTTCCTAAAACTTTATTAAAATTGATTTATTTCACAAAGTCAATTACTAGTTTCTTACATCTAAACATCAAGCAAATATTTACCTTCAAGAAAGGAAAGAAAAATTACAGTAGTTGTATCAATGGTTTTAAATATCAGGAGGACTGGCTGTTTAATAGCATATATATTGCGATATGTGAGTGCATCATCCTATGGTTAATATCAATTTATCGTATAGACTAGTATTAATCCTTTTTCAATTTCTTCAAGCATTTTATCAAAATAGATAATATGAGATGAAACCAAGTTAACACCTGAGCTGCGGTGTAAAATTTACAGCATACTGTACATGTAACATTAAAGGACAGATACCGTCAAAATAAAATTGAAGAAAACATTTATTCATCAGAATAAGTAAAAATAATACAGTATAAATCAATAATTTAAGATCCAACGCAATTTAATATATTTTTGTCTACATTGTACCTTTAACTTACTATTAAGCATTTGTAGTTACAATAAATTCAATCATGCACATAGGAATTAAAAAATGATAATAAGACATTGTGAAGTTAGCTGAAGAAGTATTCTCTACAGACTCCCTACAAGATAGCAATTTACGACAGTGAAAAGCTGTAAATCTATACTTGATAAGAAACATTTATAAAGATGCGATACATAGTCAGAACTGAAGTAGATAGGTATTATATTACACTCAAATCATTACAATAACTAACTTATAATTAATTCAATTATTGATATACATATAACACATACTGATTTAAAGTTCTAGTAACCATAGATAAGTCATTGTAGATTGCATCTAAAACGGCGTATCTGGTCTAACTGGAAGCGGAGACACAATTCCAGCTTCAAGGCTTTCGAAGATTGTATGAGGATCTTGATCGGCGTTGATATGTTTGATTGTATTACCATAAAATTCGCAAATATCGTCTATAAATATTTGATATGCACTTAAACGCTTCATAATCGCGTCTTCGGTATCATCCGGGTGCTTTAAGTTAAGAAAAAGTAATCATGTTAAGGTTTCAAAGTTGTTAAATACTTGAAAGCTGCCCTCAAGCATTTTTCCAGTTCACTTATATACGACATATCTGATTAGGATCTGTAGTGGTTTGTAATTACGTGTGTATGGTACTTGATTCATACAGGTTTACATTCTACGCTATTAATGAATCTTCTGATATTTGCTTTCAATTGTACGCAATACTGAATTAATTCTCCTGCAAATCTTATATGTGCTGTATTGTTCTCTTTTTGCTTATGCTGTACTGCACATATTTGCAAGGTTTCTACTAGTCGAAGAGGTGCTGTATATAGAAAGATTATAAGGAATTGATCAATAATAATAACAAACTTACAGTTCTCAAACGACTAGCAATTTCATTAGTCCTTGGTGGATTATAATGCATATGATACCTGTATGAGAATATTTATAGAAGCAGAAAAATATCTTTAATCTTATGTTTTTGAAGTTAAAGTAACATTAGCAACGAGTACTAGATATAAGCATACGCCCACTGCAATTTTCACTGCATAATCGTACCTTGCGCCTGTTATTGGATCGGTGCCGCGAAGGGATAATCGTTCTAATATTGAATCAGTGGGAATATCTAAGGCAAAGACTCTAGCAGTAGTAGGAGCAAAAATGAAATAAATTGATGAGTTTTTATATCATTCATTGAAAGTTAATCAATTAAACATACTAATAACCTATTCGGCTCCAGGCCTATTTCTGCCATCCTTACGGCCTGTTCTCTTGTTCGCGGGTAGCCATGAAGAACCCAACCCTTTTTTATACAATCTAATTGGCATAAGCGTTCTTTTACTAATTGGAACATTAGTGCATCAGGAGCTATAAAAGTAAAAATAAAACAGATATAAGCTTATTACCAGTGCAATGGCTGTCTACTTATAATACAACGGTTTTTCGAGCCCAATTACTTTATGAATTTCATAACTCAACACTAAGATAATTTCTACCTGCGACACCACGATCGAGATAAAGCTTAATTCCATTTCCAGCTTTAGACTGTTTAACAATAGCTTCTTTAACCAAAGAATCGACACATACTGCAATAGTACATAGATAAATTTTTTTAGATTGCAAATTCCTATTAGCCAAAGTGCCTTTTCTTTATCAAAATATATGCTAAAAAATTACCATTAATCAACTGATATTTCTTAGATAGTAAATCAGCTTGAGTACTTTTTCCACTACCAGTAGGTCCCAACAAAACAACACGAGGCGTAAATGGTGAATTTGACTTCGATTTGGTACATAGAAAACTAAGAACTATTGAAAAAATTTTATAATATTAATAAAGATCTTGCTTTAACGAAAATATTTACAGTGGTATTTTTGGTGAACATTACCTTGGGCGAATACATCACCAATCGGTTGATCGGCATTGATCTTTTTAGATACCTTGTTATAGCATTCAATGATACCATCGATATGCCTAAAATATAAATTAGTATGGTCACAGTTAAATTGATTTTCGAATTTTGATACTCTAGCAACCTATTCAGGAATGATGTTAGTTGTACCTTTGAAAAATAGCTAATCGACTTGAAACATCATCAGTGTTATAGTTTTGTTGCTGCTCCAGTCGATCTGCCACGAGGGCATCATCAGGTGGGTAGAATAAGATATGGTAAACATCTAGACAAAGTAATACGTTACAGATATCAGTAAAGTACTGGCTTCCATAAGCGCAGCTAAATATTATTATAAAAGTAATAATTTAGTACTCAAACCTCCAGTTATGGGATCAATTCGCTTGCCAAGACAACGCTCTACTAATACAGCATCTGGCGCATCCAGTAAGACTGAAACAGTCAAATTTAAAAGTTATAACGAGAACTATTTATTTTACATGTTAAGCAGCAGAACGCCATAACATCAATAAATGCCTAATAAAAACTAAATTACCAAAATGTTTAGGCATTATTCCAGCTACTTGCATCGCGAGAGCCTACAAATAGTATCACCTCAAATTAGTGGTAAAGTAAATAAACTATTTCTAATAATTCTTATGGTAGCGGCTCAACCTGTTCCCTATTTTGTGGAAATCCTTCAAGAAGCCATCCCTAGCGATAAAACGAAATTTTATTTTTTATCATAATTAATATCAGTCTATTTATTTACCCGATATTTTAATAAATAGAAGCTTGCCTTATTCTGACAATCGAGCATTCGTAATCGATCCTCTAGTATTGGAACGAGAATATTGGATGGAATGTGCTAAGAAGGTAGTTAAATAATATAACACAATTTATAATTACTTTAAGTTTATTAGAGTAATAGTATCAGATGTAGTCGTATCTTAGAATTACCTGGTTTTCATGCAAATATTCGATGGCCTTTCAATTTATAAAGTAAAGTTTAGAACTTCAAGCAATAAGAGTAAATGCTGTATTTACCATTCATTATACAACCTTTTTAGCTTCGGACAGTGTTGAGTCATAGAATAATTTCTGTAGTGTAACATGAACAACTCCAAATTTTTGGACTATCATTTTACTCTAGAGCAAGATTATATAATTGCATAATAATCCTGTTAGATTTGATCATTTATGAAATACTATACAAGTATAATACTCACAATTTGCCGCTTTCCGGACACAGGTGGACCTTGCACTACAATCTTGTGGACTATAAAGTGGAAATTGTTGACGATTATATAGAACAAGGTGATAAAAGTAAAATCGTTCATAGTATATACTGATTGTAGAGACGCTGACAAAGACCATAGACAAAATAGACTAACTTAAGTCAAGAACAGCCAAGTGACGTTATAAGGTATGTAAATTAGCGTACAATCATAATGTCAGCCTTCTGGATATGAAAGATAGCGACATATAATTGCACAGTAACATTGCTACTTAATCGAAATCCTTAAATACTGATATAGGAGTTATCGTTAAAAGCTGAAATACTTCTATCATTTACTGTCAATATGATCTATAGTCGTAGCATTCGTAACAAATTTACTTTGTTTATACAATTGCGAAGGCTGCCGCTTGATATTGTGTCTGTTAGCTTACGGTATACTAGTGTACAGTAAATAAGCTACTAGCGCACGTTTCTACAAATGATAAATTACCATCGTCGTTATCCTGTTTCAAGAAATCTGTCATAAAGGCTAACGGATCATCAGGTTGTGTAATAATAATCTTCTGGAGTAATCGCTGAAATAAACGTTTAACTCAAGTTAGTGAAAATTAATATGCGCATATTTCCCAAATACTAACATTATAGTGCACTGCTGGCATTCAGTACTTGCACAAGATGCAAAATGCTAATAGTTTTCATGAAACGATAATTAACAGCAAGATTCTATAGAATTTTAATTAGCCATATCTTTACTTCAAGAAGTTGAAAAATGCCATGTTTTTCAGCGTAGGTTGAGAAACCTGGAGGAATTTGCAATGGCCTCTTAGTCGCATCCATATTGACAAGGAAAGTATTTGAAATGGTTGCTAAGTAATGGATAATTACAGTACAACTGCTACAATTTAGAGATGGTGTATTACAGTCTGTACTGTACAGTACAGTGTACAGTATAGTGTACTGTAGTATTGTAAATTATTATACTGTACTGTACTGTACTGTACAGTACATGTACAGTACTGTACTGTACTGTACTACGCTTTATTTGTTAGATTGTACGATGCAATACAGTACTACTGTACAGTGTACAGTGTACAGTGTACAGTATATGCAATTCACTGTTATGCAAACTTGTTATTACTGTACAGTACTGTACTGTACAGTATAATGCGTTGTAAGTGTGAACGGCGTACGTATACAGTATAAGCCGCCCCTTTTCGATACAACTAGTGCAAACTCCCGTCGCTTTACTGACGGTTTACGATAATGTGCTCATTTAACAGAGGTTCAGTAACTTTATACCGTACCGTGTAGACCTGTCAGAGGTTCAGTAACTTTATATCGTGTACCGTGTACAGTACTGTACTGTATGCTAAGTGAGAGTAGCACGAACTTTCAATACAGTTGTTAGTGTTAACTCTAGATAGTAATACTGTACAGTACAGTACACAACAGTACAGTACAGTACTGACCTGTACAATACAGTACAGTGTACTGTACGGTTTTGAGTAAAAACTTTGCCAATTACAAATTACAGGTTCTCGGGCTTGGAGAGTTTGTACAATGTACAGTACAGTACTGTACAGTGTACAGTACAGTAGTGTACGGTAGTAGTGTACAGTACCTTCTTCTAGTGAAGTACTGTACTTCATCAAATAGACGTCAATGCTGGTATTACAGTACTGTACAATTTCTGACTTTGCTGTCCGATCGGAGCCATTAGTGCAGGGACTTCTAAGACTAATACTAGTGCCTGCTAGTACTGTACGGTGTACAATCGTGTGTAAAAACTTTGAATATACCAACTACAAAATACAGGTTCTCGCCCGTCCGAACTAATGTACAGTACAGTACTGTATATACAGTACTTCTATATCCAGTTTTAATAATACTACAGTAAGATCAAGTGACAACGAGTTCCTAAACACTTAATTTCTTTTTGTTAATATTAAATTCAAGTATACAGTACAGTACAGTATGTACACTCATTGTACAGTACTGTACTGTACTATATGTAGACCTGTACTGCACAGTACTGTACATTGTACTGTACAATGTACATGTCATACTGTACTGTACTGTACAGTAATACTCTAATATACAGTAGTCTTTCTACTGTATTTCAATCATATTTTTGAACGTGTACTGTACAGTACTGTAAGTGTACAGTGTACAGTACTAGCCTGTCCACCTTCTGCACAGTACAGTACTGTAGATCAAGTTATTGGTGCCAGAAAACCTCTATAAGCATGCGTCTCAAGGAGTGAAATTCCTTCTTCTTAATCTGTTCGTGTCGCTTTGGAGCCATCATTAGGATCAGCGGATTGATCTTTGAAGGACTCAAGTAATATCAAAATGGTGCGTTTTTTTTCCACATTTATCAAAAAGATGCTGTCACTATCATATTTATATGCTTCTTTCATAAAATCTTTGAAATACATTATCGGATTGTTGCGATTATTTTACGATAGTAAAAACTATTGCAGAAAAGCATGCCACCGCCATTAAGTTCACCTGTTATACTGTACAGTGTGCAGTATAAAACTGCTTGCACGTAACAGCGCTTGTATGATAAGCTATTAAAGTTAGTTACTCACTGTCAAAATTGTTCGTAAATGTCTATCACTAGTTAATCGCTGTCCTTATCATGTAACGTAATTGAAGTTGATCTGCGAATTGTTTTATCATCGACAGACTTTCGTCAAAGTTGTCAAGAATAAGGCCTATTTTAAACGATTTCAAGTCAAATACAAGCGCAGACGAGGTAAGTCGTGCTAGTAGCAGTACTGCATAGTAGTGACGCTTTAAATTTTGGAGTTGATATGGCGGCGTGATTTCATTACTTCTTCCTCGTTGAATGGGTATTTAAAGAAAACTTTAAAATTCTTGTAGAGGGTAAAACCGATTACTTCGCACGAAAGCGACTATGCACGCAAGACAAGAACAAGTATAACTCACCGAAATATCGTATGGTTGTTCGATTAACAAACAAAGATGTAATTTGCCAGGTACTTTGAATGCATGCTCATAACCGCGCTGCAATTATAAATTTTGATTACCCATTAGCCGCACTTTACTGTTATAAAATCCACTATGCCCCGTCTCGATCATTGCACTATTTCGAAATTTTGCATGGTTATTGTGATGGCTTTCGCCTGATCGCATCTAGACATTCTTATCTGGCGCTGAGCTGATGCTTGCATCACATAAATGTAACTATAGTACCGTGAATTACACAGTGTATGCGTATACATAGTGCATTAGAATAAACATTTCCTAAAATAGCAAATCCGTGATACTCATTTTATTATCGACCTGGTGAGTAGTTTCTGATCCGGATATTACATACACATTGTGAAACGCTCAAATATTTGTAAATTTACTCTATAATAGTCTTACAAAATAAGCCGTATACAGTACATTGCTTGGTGTAACAGAAGTTGCTGATTGTACGTATTGTTTTTATCAGATTGCATGTGCTAAGTTGGAGGGCGACGAAATTTTTTGTGCTGCGTACTCTCACGAGCTTCCGCGTTATGGAATCAAAGTTGGTTTAACTAATTACGCCGCTTGTTATTGTACCGGATTATTGCTCGCTCGAAGGGTAAGGTCTATAATTTTATTTCTTATGAAAGCGAGCATGTTAGTCATACACCACTGAGATGGAAGGAACGAGGTTATAACCAGTATGTATTAAATTGATCAGGTTTTAACAAAATTGAACTTAGCCGATAAATATGTTGGTGTGGAAGAGCCCGACGGAGAAGACTTTGAAGTTGAAGAACCAGATGAAGGTGCTAGAGCTTTCCGTTGCTTTCTGGATGTTGGATTAGCTCGAACTACCACCGGGGCACGTATATTCGGCACGTTGAAGGGTGCCGTAGACGGTGGCCTAAATATACCTCATCAGTACGACCCTTTACCACTTAGAATTTTTTTTATTTAGATTGTGTTAAATATCGTCTAATCTTAAGGAATCTTGCTTTAGGCATAAGCGTTTTCCAGGGTATGATAACGAAAGTAAATCATATGATGCTGGAGTACATCGGGACCGCATCTTTGGATGTCATGTAGCTGATTATATGCGACAGCTCCAAGGGGAAGATGAGGAGGCCTACAGGTCACAATTTTCACGTTTTATCAAAAATGGTATTACAGCAGATTCGGTATGTGAAAGTTAGATTGTTTAATCCGTAATACCATAATATCTGATGATGTAATGTACAGTACTAGTTAGTAAATTCCTAGGAGATCTAACACGTGCAGTTATGCATTTTTATTTTGTAATCATAAGCTACAGTAAATCTATTTCGCTTCTAAAAGCATTGATAAGCGAAATATTCGAACTTGCTAATCAGTCGAAAACACATTGCGGTAGCAAGCGATTTCGATGATACCGCAGCTATTGCGGATGTTGTCATGCTAGTAAAATCCTTTTCTGAAGTATTTAGTATAAGATATGGCAAATCGGTACCTGGGTAATGTAATTAGTACAGGATACTTTTGTCTATTAAATAGTGGTATATATCATATATTACAAACTCTAAGATATTATCGGCAATATTTGTTCTCATATGAACATTTCATTGCTCCTTTACATAATAAGCCAATATGATTGCATTAATTGTTATGTGTACTCCAAACTAGAGACACTGTGTTTAAGTTCAATTCTCGTGTAAGATCGCTTTATGTATGAATTAACGTTCTAACTTGCGCTAGGTCGAGGAAATGTATAAGAGTGCACATTCTGCTATCAGAGCTAACCCTGCACCGCTTGCTAAGAAAGAAAAGAAAGTAGCTCACAAGAGGTATGCAATCCACGTTTCGCTGAGATCTTTTATTTGCGGCTTATTGAAATGGCCATTTTGCTTTCTGTAGGTTCAATGAAAAGAAATTAACCTTAGAACAACGTAAGGAGAGGGTAGCACAGAAGAAAGCTGCTTTCTTGCAAAGTTTAGGTGCAGGAGACGAATCGTAATTCATGCTTAATCTTAGGATTGCATGTAAAAATAACCATGTTTATCGAATTTTAATGATGCGATTATGTACAGAGTGGTTGAATATTAAATTCGAGTAAATCTATGAAATGGTTTAATTTTTTGTCCACTTCAAATTACAGCGTAATCAGAATGTGCGCATCATTGATTTCGGCCTTTTCAGACGGACTGAATATATTCGCATGTTAATATTAATTACTTAATCGCATCTCAATGTAGTTGCTTTACGAATTTCTTTCTAAACAGACTTGATTTTATTGAAATTTGCATGTATTACAATACATGATTTGCGCTGTTGCGCAAATTTATAAGAATTGCAAAATAAAAATCTTTGCATGCTCAGGCTACGTTAGTCAAGTCTAGTGTTGTTGATACAGTATTGAGTATGAACTTTATACTTGACTACACTACATATAGTCACGGACTACTACGTATACATAGACCCCTAAGACAGTGCTCTGTAAAAAGTTAACATAGTCAAGCTATCGATAATTATAGACGATTACAGTATATTCAACACAACATTGAATGAAAAATTACAGTGTACGGCATGAATGGGTATAAGCTACTAGTAGAGGTAATAGAAAGTGCCGATTTTCGTCGTTATGGCAGCGCCCAGCTGCCATCATTACAGTAGTACATGCAACCACAACTCCTAATTAGTACAGTACAATACTGTATTATTTTTTTTCAGTAAAGAACCTTTTATCGTTGATTATACACGGTGGTGTATAGTGTACAGTCAAGGACTTGTAAGACAGATGCCTTTCTCAAAAGTCCCTGGTACAGTTATAAACAGTGTGTCGTTTCGACCAATCCAAATTGCGTGGAGGTACCATACAGTGCCCGAGCATAGAGCGGTACATTGTTTCATTACATCACATGCCATATCGTGTAAACCAATCAAGGCAACGTAACGGTCGATTTCGTTGTTTTAAATTAACTAAAGTTCTGTTAATTTTCAGCATTGTTGTAATAGTACTACTATATATACTGTAGTATAATAATTAATTAATATATAATATACTGTAGACAGTATAGTATACACTGTACAGTGTACAGTGTTCTTCCTTATAAGACACTTTTTTCTAGAAGTGAACAGTAAATATAGAAATAATAATAATTCTATTATTAATAATCATCGGTAATCGAACTTGGGATTGGTGTTTAACGCTGCATGGTAGAAATTCTGTAAAAACCAGCAAAGATCAACCACAAAATAAGACGAATAATTTACAATCCGATGATAATTATGCAAAGGGAAGACGCAATTGTTATATCGAAACAAGTATAGCTGTTAAGTAATTAGTATGACTATAGTTAAAAAAAATTTACATCTACTTCAGTAGTACATCGTCGTTATTAGTGGAACAGTTCAACGATTGCGATTACATTTTGTTTTACATCCTACTTCTTATTTATATATATAATCAGCACGATACTTTAAATTCATTAGGAATATTAATAAGTTGTCGATGAGATCCTAGTAGCAATTTAAATTTTACTGGACTGTCGAAATTAATCAAATTAGATTTATCTACGACTCTTAATTAAATACTAAGCAATCTACACAGATATGATATGCTAGTTTAGACTCATTATAATTATGAACTACTTATATCGCTGCACAGAAGCCAGGCACTGCGATAAATTTCAATTCAATATTTAGTAATCACTGTTAATTCCTATAGGGCGATCATTTACCGCTTCCCAACAAAGTGTATAGATTATTGTTTTCAGGTTATCTTAAATGTTGATTTATACCTAAAGTTTGTAGCCGTCCTAGCACTACAACAGCAATAAGAAATTTTAGTTTCAATTGTTTTAGTCTCAATCACCGGTAAATATTATTTGTTAAGTTGATAGTATCCGCTTCGACAGTACTTAAAAAACGACAAGAAAATTAGTGATTTAGTGGTCAAATAATTTTATTCCAAGCATAAAATGAACGACGAAGACTCCTTGATAAAAGATTGCTTCGAACTCCGTCAAAAGTTACTGGAAACGGAAAGATCGTTACAAAGTTTAAGCCAATCTGAATTAAATAGGTAAGCTATAACCTTAAAATTTAAGTAACTTCGCAGTTACGAAGTTAATATTTACGAAATAAAATTTTTTAGCCTAGACAGATTTAGTCACAGGCATGAATTTATATAGAGACATTTATTTTCGTAACAAATAGACTGCAAAAATGAAACCATACATATATCATAGATTGGCATGTACCCATACCTCTGAAATAATCAAGTTTTTAATCCTAAATACTATTATTATTAGCTATAATTACTTCCATCATGCATAGTAATAAAAGCTTAACTGGAGTTAATATCTACTGTTCCAAAGACAAAACCCATTTTTATTATTCTTTCAATACCTGATGATGTCTAATTATGGCACTTCCACATGTTCATTTCATTTAATTAGTGAATTGTTTCCTTGATATTTCTCTTTGAATCATGCGTAATATCATTGAATATTTAATTTACTGCTAAAGGAGTAAATATCAGTAAACTAAATACGACTAACATCCATTACTATATGCAGCTAATCGCTTTTCTCAATAAAGTAAGAGTAGCCTGTTAGTAGAAACTAAATACTATTAACATGTAGAGCATTAAGAAAGACATATCAACTTCTTAAATTAAAACCTTTCTATATTATTGATATAGTACAATCATAGGAAATCAAACATTTTCTGCTAACATTAACGAATATACCTTACAAATATTACCTAAGATCTGAAATAAATAAGCAAAAGCAAGTAATTTATAATATAGGTGCCTTACTCGACAACTTAATAACGAATTTAACCATATCTCATTTTTTAAGAATATATAAACTAAGCTGTTAGTATTTGTAAACGCTAATGTAATGTAAAGCATACGTCAACCCACGATACTGAAGATACTTTACTGAACTTAAATAACCTAATATTTGTCACAGGTACTATCTTTTAGCAATTAATTAGTGAGAAATGCAAAGTTACTTTAAGTACACGAGAAAAATACTCGTCTTCATGCACTATTAATAAAGACCGTCCGTATGACAGTAGAGCTTAAATGAAGTTAATAATCGCATAGTACTCATGCTAGCTGCTGATTTTCAATTTTAATCAAATATACACTCATTGCAATAATGCACTATTGATCTGTTTTCATTTTTTTAATAAGTTTACAATACTAAATTAATAATACTGTGCATGACCTGTCGACTCTACATTAAATATCATTTTATTAGCTACTTAAAGCATAGTGCATGCTAGATGAATACATGACATATTAATTAAAGTATTTTTCTAATATCATTTCTGTATTCTACGCTATACACTTGTACTACTATTCCACAGGCAATATCTGAGAACATATGCATGTCTTCCAAGTTTTATTTTATTTTGATACTGGTCCTGTAGCTTCTCATATTCACAGCATAAATTTCCTATATATGTGGCGTTTTTGATTTAAATATTTCGCGTGGACATAAAAATATTTAGCATGATATCGCATCATTTAAGGCTACAAATGCGACTTTAAGAAGTATTTTAAGATCTCAATTTCAGCGCATACTAAATCATTTCGTGATATGAATATCAAGATTCTGTATAAAGATAGCCAAAATTCATATATAAAAGTCTTAGACTACAGTTTCATAGTGTTCCCCCGGTAAACTGTATGTAAAAATGTATTAACAATCACATAAATTTAGCCTTGGCCTATGCGGTATAAGACAGGCAGAATTACATAGTATCGCCTAGATCTAAGTCCCAAGAACTGAATTTTAAATCAGAGTCATCTTGACGCTAATCTGCTATCTATTAAATGAAATTAAATATAATCATTAAATATACAGTTGATTAAAATTGTCGAAAAATCCTAATACTCTATGAGCAGGTAAATTACCTTTCTTAGTTGGTAGTCTTCGTCAAATTTTTGATCAAAAATGTCTTTTCCTGTTTGCATTTCTATAAAGTACCAGTGAAACATCCTCATTAACCAGCTTTCACCTAAAGCAAAGTGGTAATGAACATTCTTCTATGGAGCCTAATCAGTTGTCTACGACACCAACAAGTCTTGCTGACATAAGTGGCCACGAATCACCACGAATTACTCAAGAAACTATCGGAAATGCTAATCCCTACGGTAGTAGCAGCAGTAGTGCTCTTCATACAGGACACGATAATACTGCGAACCGATATGGGCGTCTTGTACAACAACAACAACAACTTCATTATCATCACCATCAATCTGCGCCTTTGATTCAACATCATAGTAATATTACTCACTCTTTAGTCTACAGTAAAAAAGGTGAGCAAAGTGGCTCTGAATTGTCATTAGTTGGCCATGATCAATATGAAACTGGGTCAAACTATAGCCTGAAAAATAATGATTCCGACTATGACAATTTGCGTAAAAAATTGTCTAATTTGAGGGAAGAAAACAGCAAATTAGTCAGTGAAAATCATAAGTTACATAATGACCATGAAAATTTAAGTTACGAATTAAGGCAATCCCATAACAAAATTGAATATTTAAGCCAAGAAATTGAAAATCAGCGACGACATATACCATCATTAGAAGACAGAGTTGTTAGCTTAGAGGCTGAGGTTTCAGTTCAGGATAAAAATATGAAACGAATTGAGACTGAATTAAGCCAAAGTCAACACCAGCTACAAAGCAAGAGTGATGAACTGAAAATAGTGCAAAATGAAAAGAAAGAGTGGGATTTACAATTATCTAAACTGAATGAAGAGAAGAATGGGTATAAAATCTTAAATTATTACAAGCATGTGAACGACATTATTAGAGGATTAGTCTCCTGTGATATGAACTTATAGCTATAATACGAATAATTAATCTTTTTATATTTTCCATCATTTTTCCTTTCGTTCGATTGACTATCTCATATCTATTACCCATCTAGGGCTATGGAGCAATGGAATGACGCTACTCAACAAATACAAGAACTAAAGCAACAATTAAAATCG